TTAGAAATAACGATACTTTGGTAGGAAAATTTAGAGTTGTACATATTGTTAGCTAGAGTAGTTCGAGAGAATGCTCTAGTAAATTATTGTAGTTGATCGAGACTCGAGAGATAATTACGATAACCCATAGCTCTTAATCCTCATAGAATATTACGGTGAGATTATAGCGAAAGAGTCAAGATATAAAACTAGCAATTGGGGACATCATTGCCCTAGACCTTTTACCATTGAATTATCTTTGCTTAAGCTTATTGTTATTTTTAATATTATTTGAAGTAGTTAAACGAAAACCAAATCTTTATTGATCAAAATCTTACATCTAGAAAGTGGTTGAGTTGATAATAGCATTGCCAAAAAGTTGTAATAGATACGTTAGTTCCCTGAGGATTCGACTCCGGACTTAAAATCGGATTATATTTGCAATGACCGCTTTATCTTTTAGAAGACATAGTTGGGCGTAATCAACCAGCCTGTTCCAAAACATAATGCGGGCCTGCTTGAGGCTTCAAATCATCTCAAACAATGCTAAAACCATGAATCGTACTCCAATTCAAGCTTAATGAACTTTTAAAACTTCAAACTTCTACATTCGATACCGAAACCTATCAAATCACGTCCGATTGCCCTTAAATTTTGCACACTAGTCATATTCAATATTATAGACCTACTCCAACTTTCGGAATCGGAATCCGACCGCGATATCAAAAAGTTCACTTTCGGTCAAACTTCTCAAAAATCTTAAAATTTCTAACTTTCGCTAAATGACTCCAAAATAACCTACGGACCTCTAAATCCAATTATGATCGCGCTCTCAATACCATAATCACCATATGGAGCTATTCCAAGACTTGGAATCCAAATATACACCCAAGTCCAAAATCATCATACGAACCTATTGGAACCTTCAAATCCCGATTCGGAGGCCGTTTACTCTAAAATCCAATCTTAGTCAATTCTTCCAACTTAACGCTTTCGAAATGAGAACTTTTCTTTCCAAATCAACTCCAAACTTCTCAGAATTCAATTCCGACCATGCGTACAAGTCACAATACCTTAAATGAATCTGCTCATGGCCTCAAACTACTGAAGAATGCGCTAGAGCTCAAAACGACCGATCGGGTCGTTACAAAAATTGAGAAGTTTGACCGAGAGTTGACTTTGTGGTTAACAGGATTGGATTCTGGTTTCGAAGGTTGGAATAGGTCCTTTGTGTGATTTATGACTTTTTTGCAAAATTTGAGGTCAATCGAACTCGATATGATAGGTTTCTGCATCGAATATAGAAGTTAGAAGTTCAAAGTTCACTAGGCTTAAATTGATGCGCGATTTGTGGTTTCACCATTGCTTGATGTGATTTGACGCTTCGAGCGAGTTTGTATAATATTTTAGGACTTGTTGGTATGTTTTATTTTTGTCCCAAGGGCCTCGGGTATATTTCGGATGGTTAACGGATAAAAATTTGGACTTGAAGCATTGCTGGAAATTTTGCCTTTAGTGTGATCGCACCTGCGAGGGATTTGGTCACAGGTGCATGATCGCGGAAGTGACATAAGGGTCGCGGGTGCAGTCAGGGAAAAAGGGAAGGCAGTCGTCGCAGGTGCGCATAGGTGAACCGCAGATGCGGAGTCGCACCTGCGAAGTGGTTCTCGCAGAAGCGGAAAATGGGAAAGGGAGCTGACTTCGCAGAAGCGAGTCCGCATGTGCGGAACCTGGTCCGCAGAAGAGAAGTGGCCTTCATGGTCAACCGCAAAAGCGGAAGAAATGCATGCACCTGCGAGACCGCAGATGCGGCTAAGTGAGTCACAGATGTGTAAGTATTGGCAGTGTGTATAAATTCGAGGGTTTCGAGAAATTTAATAATTTTGGACATTTCAAGCTCGGACTAAGGCGATTTTTGAGATGGTTTCTGAGGGGTTTCTTGAGGTAATCACTCTTGATCATTTTTACTCAATAATATTGTTTCCCCGTTGACTTTCCCACCTAATTTGTGTGTTTTTTAGGTAGAATTTTGTGAGTTTTGTGCTAGGGATTGGAGAGTTAAATTTGGAAATTTGGGTGACAATTTTGTATCGGATTTGAGCAATTTTGGTGTGGTTGGACTCGTGGTTGAATGGGCTTTCGAATTTTGTAACTTTTGTTGGATGCCGAGATATGGTCCCGGGGGGTTGACTTTTGAATTGACTTTTTGACTTTTGATTAAGAACTTAGTATTTTCATATGGAATTGATTCCTATAGCTTGAGTTGATCGTATTAAATAGTTTGTGGCTAGATTCGAGGTATTCATAGGCCGTTTCGCGAGGCAAGAGCTTGGTGGAGTAGAGATTTGCACGGTATGATTGAGGTAAGTAATACTTCTAAACTTGGTTCTGAGGGTATGAAACCCAGAATTTTGTGCTATGTGATTGGTGTTGAGGTGACGCGCATGATAGGTGACGGACGTGTGGGCGTGCACAGTAGTAATTGTGATTTAGTCGATTTTATGGACAATGTAGCTATCTTATCTGAACATTATTATTGTATCATGTGTAACACTTAAGTTGTGATTTATGCTAGGATTCATGTTTAGGCTATATACTGGTACTATTGGGATCCGCAATGGTCGTTCTTTGTTGTTGAGTTATTTTATTAATTGCAGTTATGTACTCAGTCATATTCATCATTACATATCATATCTCAATCTTTGTTATCGTATATTATCGCATCTTGTATCATTGATTTGGGCTGCTTAGCATGAGTGTTGTAAGCCCGAGAGACTGGAGAGATTGACGATCGAGTGAGGCTGAGGGCCTGTTGTGAGTGATATTTATGGGATCGGGCTGCACGCCGCATCTACCCCTCCGAAGTTTGCACACCTATAGTGAGCACAGTTGCTATTGATTCACTTATATTTGGGCTGGATTTGCCCTGTACAGTGCTGAGTGAATTGAGTGCGATAAGTGAGAATTGAGACAATCACGCTGAGTACTCCGAGAATGTGAGTAAGCGAGGGCTTCATTGTGTTGTATTACCATACGATGTGCATATTGGTATGTAGATATAGAGATGTCATATTCCTCATATCATTCAGACTTGACATATTTTATCTGTTCTGAGTTTAATTGTTAAAACTGGAAGCATGTCTAAATTCTTGTATTGTTACCTGCAGATTATGATTTTCTGAGATATTACTGTCATATTTTTCGTGAAATTTCGTACTGTTAAATTCTGTATCTGGGCTGTAATGGTTAAGCTCGTCACTACTTTCAATCCAAAGGTTATTTGTTACTTATTGAGTTGGTTGTACTTACACTACACCCTGCACTTCGTATGCAGATCCAGGTGTTTCCGGGCACGGTGGTTGTTGACTCAGAGTCTGCAGTCGTTCGGAGATTATCAAGGCAGCTGCCTTGGCGTCCGCAGACCTTGACTCTCCTCTCTTATCCCTTAGATTTACTTATTTAGTTTATGTTTTCCTTAGATAGTGTATTAGACTTTGTATTTGTATAGATGCTCATGTACTCAGTGACACCCTGATTTTGGGAAGCTTCTGTATCAAGTTGTGACGGTTTTGTCCAATTTTATGAGATTTTCACTTATTTAACCATGTTTTAGCGTATTTTGAATTTTAGAGTGTTAGTATGTATAAGTTATCGACTTGCCTAGTATCATGATAGGCGTCATCACGACAGGTTAAGATTTGGGTCGTGACAAAGAAAAGGTCATATAACTAAAAATTAAAATAATATTTGTGATGGATTACGAAGCCAAATCTCCCATAGTTATCAAACAAACACAATGGGTAAGAGTCAATATGAGGATGTCAAGAATCAGAAACCAGAGATGCCCTGATTTGAGATGGATGCTATCCAGTTGAGCACAAATTCACTAATTCAATCCCCTTTACAACCACAGAACTAATCTTTAAACAATCCACATCTCGGCGCAGAGGCGGACCCAAGATTTGAGCACAACGGGGACATCATTGTGTACTAATCACTAGCGATAAAATTCGGTGTGCAACTCTTTGAAAACTTAATGATTATAATGACTTATCATCCAAGTATAAACAAAAAGAAGTTCTAAAGAAAAGAAAACACCGAACAAAGAGAGATTTCTTCGCAAAATGGGTGCTATGGGAAGGAAAGATGTTTGATTAAGCATGTTTCGCACTTTAAAATTTCTAAATTTTTTTTAAAATAAAAAGAAAGGATTAGTGATTAAAAGAGTATTCAAACTTTAAAGAAATCAAGATTAAGGATACGTTAATAGTAAAAAAAAAAACTAAAGAAGAGTCTTAAACTCTTAGTTTCCATTGCCGAGTCGGAGTCAAAGTGATTGATGAAGAACGTCGTGGCATAAGGATTTGTATTTTTCTATTTCTGGAATGATAAGTTGCATGCAATCTGAAGTTTTTAATTTTAAGGGATGAATTTGAAAAAAAAAATTAATCAAGTTGACTATTATGTATTAGAAGTCAGAACTAAACTATAATTGAATTCAAAAGAAAAAGAATAAAAAAAACAGTTTGTTATTAAGTATAAAGAAAGTACGTTGTATTCAATTAACTAAAAAACCTAAAGATTGGGATTCAAACCTCGATCATCTAACAATTAGCAAAGAAGGGAATTGAAGCGTCCAGCATAACCACTTCTTCCGTCAGCCTTTTTGTGTCTGGGGCACAACTAAAATATTTAAGAGGTTCTATATATATATATATATATATATATATATAGCATATACATACAAGGTTTTTGCTGAGGCTAACGGGATCTCGTGACCCTATACAACTTAAGTTTATGTTATGGCCATAGAGGCGGATCCAAAATTTCGAGTTATATATGTAATAATAACTTGGTTCACAATCATTATAGATAGATATTTAGTAGACTTCTTAGTAAAAGTACAGGATCTGGGCAAAAGCTACTGGGTTCACGAGAACTCATATACTTAAGGCTAAAACCGCCCAGGTTATGGATAGCTTGCAAAGTTGGACTAGGAATGACAACTAATAACACATAACTTCAGAAAACAAATCTTGTTTAATCACTTTATCTCCATTGTGTTGCTTCTGAAGAGCATAAGACACAGAAAGAGTTGAATGATAACAGCAAACATAAAAGCCAGCATAAATGTAGCTCATTTCTGTTAGAACACAAAATTAGGCTTTACACTAAGGTAACGAAGAAACAATTAACAGGAGCGGACATACAACAGATGCTCAGAACGATGTCTTGAGTTACTGAGCGATGCTTGATGGTATGTACACGAGTCGCACACATTCAACCAGGGCAACTTTAAAAGCTTCGAGACAAACTAACTGCATCAGATTCATATCTGTCCACCTTTAGGATCCTCCCTTTTATTGGATGCTTTTTTAAATTAGTCCTGGCTCTTCGAGGTGTATTCCGAGCTTGTTTCTCAAACCTGAATACAGAACTAAAACATGCAGTGACGAGCTACCAAACAGCATATGGACATATTTAACACCGAGAAAGAGACTTGTACTTACAGCCGAGCCTTCTTCTTTTCTTTGTGCATTGCTAATTGATTCTCTTTACTGTCCAACTGTGAATTATATGAAACCTCCTGCTCGTTGGAAGCGGGTGAATCCACGTACTCATTACCACTGCTTTCACTGCTCAGCCTTGATGCTGAGAAGGACAACGATGAAAAATTTGTTCGAATTGGTGGAGGACAATCCTTGATTGTGGGAATGTGTTCATCAGAGGTAACATGGCTTTGGCTGAAGTGAGTTGGCCGTCTTTTGCAGATTGATGAAGCTTTTGATATATCCTGTCATCAGTTAACAAAACCTCTAATAACATAAATAAAGTTTCAACATATTTGCAGGCTATAATTATGTAATTAAAGGTCACTGGTAGAAATCTGACTCAGTTTCTGCAGTACAAGAAAACTAGATGTTTTGTCGAGTGAGAACAAATCATACTAGAGAAAACCGTAAATTAAGGCAATATATTGCAGACCTCAACCTTCTTGACGTAGCTATGATCTGATTTATCCATCGAAGAATAATTCTCCATAGAGGAGCATGTCATATCCTCCTCATTAAGCAATGTGTTGTTCAGATCTTGCTCCTCGCCAAAGAGTTCTTCAAAATTTTGGAAGGTCAAATCAACATCAGGCATGTTGGAATTGTCAAAACGTCCTTCTTCAGCATAAGGTCCTAGTTCTTGTAGATTTTGAGGCCAAAGCTGCAGAATTCATATAATGATCAAGCTAGTACATGGAGGCAGACCTATGTTGTAAAGAGAGGGGCTACCGGCACCCGGAAAGTTCAGCAAAAATTCCATGTATACATTGTATATGTCTTTAAAAAATATTGATATATGAGCAGTGACAACCCACATACAAAGCAGATTTTGGTTGAATGCGAAAGTACACTCCTGACCTTCAAATCCTAGATCCGCCTCCGCTAGTACATTATGAATAAAATAGTTAACCCCACACAATGATCATAAGGGATAAGAGAGGTGAGCTAGTCACTATCCCTGATTATGGCATCTGCATTTAGACTCCCATAAGAGTGCACATGTCTAACAATCATAAGGATAAGAGGCTAAGGAACAGACAAATAGTGAGGAAAATCTTAAGGGGAAGAGGAGAAGAAACATGCAAATAGTGGTTTGACCTTGCTATGAGTTTCATTCTAAATTCATCACCTTGCATCAATGCTAAGATTGACGACAGTACATGGTGCTACAAAAAGAAATTTATTCATTATACTAGATTTCAGCCTATGTTTCATAATATTAGGTGTTAGTGACTGTAGGTAAAGATTTTAACAGCACATATAAACTCTTTGTAGCTAATTGTGCTCTGTAAGATAAAGTATTTTGCCAGCATAGCAGCAAATGAAATGCATGGCCTTGCTTCTTTGGTTCCTGAAATTTCCAAGTTAGGTAAAACTAGTTTTTTTGCTAGACATTGCGATAAACAATTCCGCCTATGAAGCAAGTTGGATTATTAGTTAATGAGAAGTCTTATGCTTTAGCTGGTTTGTGGACACTGTCCCCTAAATGATAGATGTGGCTCTCAGTGTTCCTTACATCACTTCAGACAAATCGCCGACATGAATTGATTACATAGAGAATCCCCTTAATGAAAAATGTGAGTGCCAGTGTTCCTTACATCTGACAAATTTCCACACACAAAAAAAAGAAAGAAAAAAGAAGCACGAGAGGATAACTGCAGACAGGGATCATGCATCTATACCAGATAGAAAATGAGAACTTAAGTTTGAAACTGAAAGATTTTGAATTTAGTCTAGTTACATGATCAGAAGGGTGAAAAAGTTACCTATGTTGGAACCGACTACACCTATGATATTTGCGCATGCATTCTTTTTTCTGTCAACTTTGACGACTTTAGGCTATAGTTTATTCCAGAGACAAAACATTATCTTTAGTATAGGTCCAATCCTAGGAGAGAATCTAAACAAAACAAACAATCTTGCAATGCTTTTATGGGGCGAGGGCAGGTTTTATCATCAGCCTTGAGTACTCCATACAAAATAAAACCTCAAATGTGTGAAAGTGAGATAAGGTAGAGAATGCACGAGAATAGCAGCAGACCTGACTACTCTGAACTGGACTTTTACATTCCCAAAACGAATCTCCATCTGGCATCGGTAATGGAAAAGATTCAGCAGCTGGACTTTCATGAGTAGTGCCCCAATCCTGAAGTTCAGGGCCAAGATCAAGAGAATTCTGCAAGCGATCAGATTTACTATGCATATTCCATGAAGTACCATTCTTGAATGAAGAAACATTATTTTGACTTTCTCCGCTTGTTAAATTGTTACTGCCCTCTGTCAGCTGAAGTCTTTCCAAGTCAAGAATCTGTTGTAGAATGAAAGAAGTGCTCTCCCGCCGTTTATGCAAGTATAACGTCTAAAGAAATGAAGCAAGTGATTATAGTGGTAAGACGCTAGCCATCAATGACTTGGAAAAGACATATAAAGAAGCTATTTTACTTTATACCACGAGTTTACAAAAATTACCTAAAGACAAAAGTAGGACTTCATTATTTCAGCTGACCATATTAACTATTTGCATTCATAAATTAATTGATCCTAGACAATCACCGAACATGATACAAAAAGAGAGGTAGAGTTTGAGGAGTTATACTGTAAGGTGGCTTGTTGCTACAATCTACAGTTATATACAAAGATTTATCCCTTAATGGAGAAAAGCCAAAATAGTTATCATCAAACTATGGCAGATGATACTGGTCATCAGACAGTAGACATTAGTTATCCTCATTAATTATATTAATATCCCTACTTCAAACAATAATCCTTCTCAAACATATCGGCAAGACTAAGCCAAAATGCGAACACATTTTAAATAGTTATGCCTGTCTAATGCTTAACTCAACCCAACCTGTAGAGATGGTAGTATCCGAAACAATCCCGGGAAGAACTTCACCAGAAATCATCTACTTTCTGTGAGATATTAAAGTTAAATGATTAGGAAAAAGATATACCTTAGTGTGGTTACTAGTTGATCCGACTTCTGCTTCTGCAGAGACAATTGGACCTCTGAAGTCGAGTTCAGTAGCCAAGGAAGAGCCCCCAGCTGAGTGAGACCGTTTGACAATTTTTGGATTGACCTTGGCTCCATTTACCGTTCCATTTGATGTTGAGATGAACTTATCTGGTGGAGTAGTATTTTCCAAATCTTTCAAGCCGAAACCCCACAATGCTGCCAAATCCTTGGCAGAAGGACACCCCATATAACTAGTGATCACTTTTCTCTGGTGTTGAGAAGAGAGGTCGTGATGGCGGCAGTCACAGTCACGACACATGAACATTTGATGATCCGAACATCGAATATAAGCTAGGTTGTATCCACAAGGCTCGCAGACAAGGGTGCGAGGATGCCGAATAGAAAGGGCATTAGCTGAATGAACTTTAGCATCACAGGAAAGGCAAAGGTGTGCTGCATCAGACTCACAATACACCACTGGCTTCAATAACATGCAAAATTCACATGTTTTCTCCATTTCCATGTTCACAAATCAGCACGACCCTCGAAATAGTTGTTCTGCACATCTAAGCCACAACATACTCTTAGGAAAATTTCTCGGAAAACCTCCAAAAGGAAAAGGATAAATTTCAGTTTCAAGTAAGATATTTTTGTGCAAGATCTTTTATCATGTATTTGTCAGAAATCAAAGCAAGAACATAAGCTAAATATTAGATTAGTTATCTGTTCTTATGATCTTGTCAACTAAAATACTCGGTACTGAATGGAAATGCCTAATATCTATTTATACCAAACTCCTAGGGACTTATACCTAATTCCCTTGGCCAGAATCTGGTAGTGGAACACACTTGCATAATTAAACAATTCACACTTTCATAAAGCACAACAGAAATTTCTATATAGATAGTTCAAACTATTATAGACTACAGTAAGTTATTCAAAAGATTTCAATAACTCCTCAATGAAAATCACAAGAAGCCGTGGCAGCCCGATGCACAAAGTATTCCGTGTCCATGCAGGTTCAGGGAAGGGCCACACCCTTCAGGTGCGATGTAGACAGCTTATCCAATGCAAGCATTGTATTGGGAAAAATTGCATTTATATATGTAAGTGACATGTTGAGACACGTGGACTGGTCAAATAGTCAAAGAATTATAATTAGTCAAGAGGCACGGGCATCAATAGAAACGAGCAACGGCAAAGGAAAAAGGCAAAGGAAGAGGCACGGGAGTACATTTGAAGGATTCAGCGCCCGTACCTATTTAAGTCATTTATCAAAAGGAATGGATCTGACCATAATAAAGAGCGCAGATACGAAATTCGACAGGCATTAAATACTGGATACATTAGAGAATTTGTATTGATCACAATGATTGTGTAACGTAGCATTCAATGTCTTTAATTATTCATAATAGCCTCATTATGATTTGGGGAAAACGCATATCTTCAAGATACCTATAAAAGGGAGGTATCTGGTCATTTGTAAACACAAGACACAATTGGAATATACTTTGATTCACTTGTTTTTCTCCTGATTACACTCTGGTTACTCCAAATTACTTTCTTCTACATATTCTTTTGATATCAGTAACCCGCGTTCTTCTAAATTCTAGCTTTGACTGAAATTCTATTTTTTGGTTAAACAAGCATTAGTGCATCAAAAGCAAGAACAAAATTCTTGTATATATTAAACAAACTACTACTTAGTATAAACATCAATTGTTTCTTTAATGCAAATTTCTAACAACATTATTGCAAGACACCTAATTAAATTTCTGATAATCACATTAGGAAAAACAAAACTGAAACTGCAGAAAGAGTTTCAATTAAAGTAATGAACCTGTGATTGTTGGGAAGAAGTCAACTTTCTTGAATCAGCTAAAAATATGAAACTTAATTATTTAAGTGAATTTATGAAAGAGAGAGAAAAACGATTGAGGGTAAGGAGGTATATGGAGGAGAGTCACAGGAATATGTATCTTATCATTCATGATCAGCACTGCCTTTGAACTTCTCTTTATGTACTTGTCATTATATGTTCTTGTTTTTTCTTTCTCGCTTATTATGCCATATCTGTATTAGAGCCCGAATAAATTTAAATTCTCACTGAAAAATTCATATTAAGAAATAAAGTATTCTCTGGTAAATACGACAACATGTCATGGCTCGAATTGAAAATATTTGATTAAAGATAAAGAAATACTAATAACTCCACCACAAATACTTATAAGGTGTTTGGTCAAGCTTTTAGAAGGAAAAAAGGTGTTTTTGAGGAGAAGCAGAAGTAGTTTTGGATAAACAGAAAAAAGTAGTTTCTCTCCAAAAAACACTTTTTTAAGAAGTATTTTTGAGAAAAATACACTTGAGCAGTTTTCAAAAGCTTGGCCAAATACTAATTATTGTTCAAAAGTATTTTTCTAACTAATTAGCCAAATACAAATTACTTCTCATCAAAAATACTTTTTTTAAAAGTATTTTTGAGAAAAACACTTCTTAAAATAAGCTATTTTAGAAGTTTGCATGATTCATTCCTTGTTATCTAGTTTTCTTTTTCTCGCTGTCTCAAAGTAAAGAAAGACAAAAGGGGCACTAACTTTTTGGTATTACGTGGCACTTTTGTGTATGGGTTTATCTGAGGTGGATGATAACACGTAAGCTAAAAGTGGGGCCCAAAAGCGTTATCTAGATCTTTGCATGTGAAGTGGAGTGATCCATTAGTTGGGCGGTTGAAGCGAATGTAAAGTTGCCACGTTAGGAGTAAAGAGATTAGAGATGACTGCTTACAACGGAGAAATGTGGCCGTACAATTCTAGTCTTTCAGCTTGGAAGTAGCAAAGAAAGTTATCTTTCTTTTTTGTTGACAGCTCGATGTCCGCAATCGCATTGGAGCTCAATAATATCTGAATTCGCATCCCGTAGGATTCTATTTGGGAGAAAAAGCGTCCTATCAAGGATTTCTTCATATCTAGAACTCGAACGCAAAATCTCTGATTAAATAAAGAGTAATTTATCCACTGCACCACATCCTTTGATGATAGCAAAGAAAGCTATCGCTTAACAATTAAACAATCTCAAGATTTTAAAATAAAATTTATATCGGTATTAACTTATATTTTAATAATTAAATATAAAATAAATACATTTAAAATTGTACACCGAATTAGTATAAGGTAACCGAACGAATCGTTAAAAGCTAGAGAAGATTTTCTTAAGCCCATTTGGATATCCGAATTATTTGTATTTAATATTTATTTTATAATTTTAATTCATTATTTATACGGAAAAGGGTTAAAAATACCCCTAAATTATTGAAAAATGTTTAAAAATAACTTTCATCCACCTATGGGGCTAAAAATACCCCCCATCCACTTTTTTGGTTCACTTATGCCCTTTGACCGTTAGGTCAATGCTAAATTAAAAATAATNAAATTTGAAGCTTTACAAAAGTAAAAGTTAGACTCATTGGTTACCCATAGGTGGATAATATTGTTCTTATCCATATTTGATCCGATTTTAAATAGTTTATTATTCAACCCATTTTTAATGAATAATATGGGTGGTTAACTGTTTTTTTTGAACCATTTTGTCACCCAAACTTTAAGCTATTTTCCAATACTCTCTCTCTAATGTAGACGATGATTCAGACATTTAATATGGTACAAATGCAGGTAAAAAAGTTTGCCCGACTGTTTTCTATCACTATCTTCTACCAATTAAAAAATTTTATACCAATATATTTGGTCCCCAAAAAAAAGAATAAAAATACTGACACTTGATGAGGACATGTTGCATATCCAAATTTAATAAATACGAGAGTTCTAATAACCTAATTTCTTAAACAAAGTGATTTACAAATTCAATATTGGACATTTCCTTTTCATGTTAACTATAAAAATGATTAGTTTAGTTGGGGACCTTTATATCTCACTATTCTTCCTCTTTAAGTCTTGAAAATAGCAATAAATTAATCATTTTTATGTGGAAAAAGAATTCTCCTTTTTGTCATTTTATAGAAAAGTTTATTAGTTTTTTCTTTTTCAAAACCAAAAGCAACACTATCTTATCCAAAAGACAGATTTTTATTTTTGGAAATTGGAAGTCAGAGCAAAATGTCTACAGAAACTCAAAAGGATTTAAAGTTAGGTCTTTACCAAAACTAAAAGTATTTTTTTCCAAGAACATTTTCTCACCACCTAATCCAAAAGCACAAATTTCTCGAACAATATTTAGCAAAATCTAGCTAGTTTTTCAAACAATTACGAGAAAGCGAAAATTATATTGCAATAGTACTCTAGTCAGATTTACAAGTGATCATTCAAAAATAGTCACAGCTCCAAAAGTAATCGAAATTTAGCCACTTTTTATGTCAAAGATAAATCTGAACGAAAACACTGTTCAAAATCCGAAAAAGTACTCCAGCATAATATACTGGAGTTCCAGTATAATATCCCGGTCCAGCATAATATACTGGAGTTTGGAGCACCGGTGCTCCAATCTCCAATATATTATACTGGAGCCAACAAAGTATATCGGTCCAGCATAATATGCTGGAAGTTCATACACAGGTGCACCGAACTCCAGTATGTTATGTTGGACTGGTCTCTGTAGCAGCAAAGTAGTGGCTATTTTTCAATGACTTGGCAAACGCTGGCTATTTTTGAATGACCAGTCTGAAAACTGGCTAGACCGTGCTATTTTAACCAATTATATCGTTTAAAAGAAAGGAAAACTTACACAAATGTCCCAAATAAATCTCAACTTACCAATCTCTAGCGATTAGTCATAGACTTACCAAAACTAGCCATATAAAAATTAAAAAATCAAATAAATAATGTTCTTTCTCTCAAAGAATCACATGCAAAAATCACCTTCCATATTTTTAAGCGTGATTAGCAACATTAGATGCAAGATGGAAAGAAACTTTTATGGATAAGGTAGCAAATAAGGTGATGAAATAAAAAAAATACAATATTTCAAAAATCTAAGCAAAAAAAGAACTTTTTCAATGGGTATAATTGATATTCATTGAAAACATATAGATAAGTCAATATACAAAATTTGAGGAAGATTGGAGGTGATTTGGACTGGTTTTGTATCAAAATTCATAATTAAATCGAGTTCAAAAAATTCTTCTACGACATATGTATCACAATTTATTAAGAGAAAACTAGGCTCTACAGGTGTAAAAATTGCACGGGGTGCTCTATTTGGTCTCCCCCATTTAACCTATACCTATTTTTTAAAAAGTTTTAACTTGTACCCAGTTTTTAAACAATTTCATCCCCTTTCTCATCCTCCTTCCCCTCCTTCGTTTTCTTCTTCTTCTTCTTCTTCTTCTTCTTCTTCTTCTTCTTCTTCTTCTTCTTCTTCTTCTTCTTCTTCTTCTTTTATTAACAACTGAAAGGCACTATTATTAATTTCGCTTTTAGTATAACCTGAACAAATAAATCAAACAACAAACAATAAAAGAATATAACTTTCTACCTCGACTAGACAAACATACAAACAATCCGTATTTTTTTAATCTCTCGCAATACTGTATTACATTTATGATGAACTATACGGAAACTGACTTATTACTTCTTGTTTTGAATAAACTAATTCTATCAGATTCATGGGAAGATATTGAACTGGTATTAAACTTGAATTTTAGTCGCATGTAATTATTGTCTCCTTTTTCATCTTGAGCTGGTTGTTGCTTCACTTGGAAATACTAGGATTCAAGTTTTTGCTTATGGTCTCATGGATTCAACTTCAGCTTATATAGTGCTGAAATTTTTACAAATGAACTAAATAACTTCAGCATCTTCTGCTGAAGTTTTTGAACATGTTTATCCAGGACAAAAAAACTTCAGCTTATTTAGTGCTGAAATTTTTACAAATGAATTAAATAACTTCATCATCTTATCCAGGACAAAAAAATTTCGGCACTGCCTTTGCTACTTCAGGCCCGTTTACTAGAATGGTGAAGTTTTGCGTGATTGTCTTTGCTACTTCAGCCCTGTATGCTGAAGTTACGCGAAAAAGTGGGTATGCTTGTAATATTTTTTGCAAAGTGGACACAAGTAAAACGTGACCCAAAAAGTGGATATAGATGCAAATCCCTCTTTATAGCCCCTCAAAATTTTAATAGCCCATGTTTTTTTAACTGATACGAAATGACCATTCGGCCCAAACTTATTGCATCTAATAACCCGAAATATCTATTTTGTATATTTTTTGTATAGTGACAGTCTGTTTTGTATATTAGCAGTCTATTTTGTATAGTAACAGTCTATTTAGTATATATTTTATATAGTGACAGTCTATTTTGTATATATTTTGTATAGTGACAGTCTATTGTATATAAATTGTATAGTGACGGTCTATTTAGTATATTTTTGTATAGTGACGGTCTATTTTATATATATTTTGTATAGTGATATTCTATTTGGTATATTTTTTGTATAATGACAGTTTAGTTTTGTATATATTTTGTATAGTGACAGTCTATTGTACATAAATTGTATAGTGACAATTTTCAGCCATTTTCACCATCATTTATTCTCCTTTGAGCATAATTTGTTTAATCGCTTGTCTAAAACTTACTTTTTTAAAAAAAAAACTGCATAGCGAGTAGTACGAGTTATATGTGTCATTTACATGTTAGCTTACATATGTAATTGTAAAATCAGCGAGAATTTTGTTTGCCAAGGTAAGGGTAACTATGATACGAATGAGTAACGACAAATGTATTTCTGTTGAAGGGAAAACTTAAGGCAATTTTTAACATGTTTTCCATTCAATTGTATGTTATAAAACGAAGTAATGTTGCAGCAAAGTTTTATTGTGAACAAAATCAATTTTAGGAATGATTTTTTTGGGAGGATAAAGCGGAAGAAAAGGCCATGTTACTAGTGAAATTTGAACCTTTTATCTAAACAAGTGGGTGGACAGTGAACTCATGTTAGAAAGGATATGTGATTGTTGTGGTTAAGCAAATTAGTCAAATTAGTGGAACG